CATTAAAAAAAAATTTTTTTTTTTTAAATTAAAAAAAATAGGGGCGCCTGGGTGGCGCAGTCGGTTAAGCGTCCGACTTCAGCCAGGTCACGATCTTGCGGTCCGTGAGTTCGAGCCCCGCGTCGGGCTCTGGGCTGATGGCTCAGAGCCTGGAGCCTGTTTCCGATTCTGTGTCTCCCTCTCTCTCTGCCCCTCCCCCGTTCGTGCTCTGTCTCTCTCTGTCCCAAAAATAAATAAACGTTGAAAAAAAAAAAAATAAAAAAAAATAAAAAATAAAAAGTTAACATGCTATGATTGATGACGAATTAAATGCTAGTTCTGCAGAGGTTTGCTCTTTGGGATGAACTCTTTTTTCTTTCAACTCAACATTTGCTGAGCCCCTGCAGAATCCCTGGCACAGGGCTAGGAGAAGGGGATTCAGAGAGGAGATGGACACATACCCTTTCCTTCAAAGAGCTCCTAAATAGCCATTTATGTATTACATTTGCATGTTGAAATACTCTGAAATAATTTCACTGATGTACTTTTACCCTTTCAGCCAGTAAAGAAGAAGAAAATCAAGCGTGAAATAAAGATTTTGGAGAATTTACGAGGCGGTCCCAATATCATCACACTGGCAGACATTGTAAAAGACCCTGTGGTGAGTATGGTAGGCGCTGGCAAGGCCCACCAGGGCTGAGGTGGTGTTTGACCTGGAGCACAACTGGCCTCTTTATTTTCCCCCTCTACCGTTAAGTCCTGCTTTAAAAGTGCTTAATCAGTTATACCATTTAACTAGCTTGGGTCTTTCTTTCAAAGAGACCTCCACCCACAGACTATTTCTTATTCTTCTAGGCTAAGAGACTGATAGCACTGGAAACTGAAATGTGTTAATCCATTTTGCAAACTCAGGTCCGATGCCGATGGGCGATGGGCGCATTGTCGGGCTGCCTAGAGCCTGGTGAGACTTCAGCTCCATGTCTTCTGTTTGAAATCCATCCCAAAAATGACCTAAGTGTGGTGGTGATCAGAGTGGGGAGGGCTCGTAGCAATAGAGGGTTTCCTACTACTGAGGCAAGGACTGCCAAATTCACCACGTAGTATCTGCGAACATTGTGCCTACTAAAGCTGCCAGGGCTATTGCTAATGTGTGTTTTCTTTTTCTTTCCCCTAGTCACGAACCCCTGCCTTGGTTTTTGAACACGTAAACAACACAGACTTCAAGGTATAATATATAACCAACCATTTCAAGGTGTTGGGTTTTTAGACCACATAGAAAGCCTTTTAGCAATGTTACTATTAGAAGAGCTTCCTTCTAACATGCTTAAAAAGAGCTTTTCATCTTTACTTTAGAGAATTTATCCTTATTTTAAGATAGAGAAACTCACGTAGAAGCAATGTCTACTTTTCACATCTTGGTATTTCACTCTTTTGTTTGTTTTGTGCTCTTTTTAATTACCAATACATTTACTTCTCACCACCTTTACCATTCATTTGACAGTTTCTACAGATGTCAAACCTAATAAAAGCCACAGCACGTGTTCAGTCAGGATCTGGCTGTAGGGCATTTCACGTTAAAACAACTGTATTCAAGAAGGAATACATTGTATGTGTACAAGCAAGGACTGCTTATACATTGGGATCCCTCAGAAATTCTGGGCTATAGATCTTAAAAAGGGGGTGGGTAGAGAAGCGTGATACAAACTCTGGTATAATACAGACCTCTACAACAGATCTCTGACTTCCAGCCCATCTGGTAGCCTCCTTATTTCAAACAGTTCTCAATTCGAGTACAGCAGAGGAATGTGGGCACTCTCTTGGGTTACAAGTATAAAGGTACTTGACTTGCCTTTTCACAGTCCTGTAGTAAGAATGTTATGTATCAGTAAATGGGTGAATCCTGTGAACCCTTTGCTGGGAGGATGAAAAAAAGGAAAGTAAGTATTTTAGAAGCAGAATGATAACTTCAAGGAAAACTGTCGGGATATCACTAACAGCTGAATGATACGTAGATTTAAAAAAAAAAAATCTGCAGCTTCTTGGAACCTGGAAAGGATACACAACAGTTCAGAGTTTACTTTCAACTTGGGATGGGAATAGTTCTGTCAAATTGACAGATTTGGCGGGAAGCCATCTTGCATACCAGCTGGTGACCCATAGTGCCTATATAACTCTATACATCAAAGGTGGGTTAGTTCCCTACTAAGGAAGGTGTGTATTTGCCAAAATGCCTTATATTGGAAGGTCTGGAGGTAAATGCAAAGCAGACTAAACTTCAAATGTATGGTATCAGTGCATGTTACATATGTAAATTGGTACATTCCCAACAGTGGGTTATAGCTTAAGCAATACAAGTTTAACTAAGTCTTCACTTTTGCATATAGAGTTAAATACCCAAAGTGTCTCTTTTAAAAAGTAAGTTTCTGTTGGAGAAGTAGAGACTGATGAACAGACACATCCCGGAACTGTAGCAAACGAGCCAAGTCTTGGTTTGAATTACTACAAACAAAGATGAGAAATTGCCTTCCTATCAGCATTATTTCACAGCTTATATGTTGCATTTGTCTTTAACAGCAATTGTACCAGACGTTAACAGACTATGATATTCGATTTTACATGTATGAGATTCTGAAGGTAAGGGAACCTGGGATACTAAATATCTTTAGTTTGCTCTTCCTTTTGTTAAATGGTCCAGTTAACTGTGGAGAAGCCAGTGAATTAACTTTGGAAAGTATGTTGAAAGAAGGGGCCTCTTCATGTAAGTGTTTAGTTAGTTAATAGCATCAGAACCCTGTGCTAATGCAAGCATTACGGAATAGAGTCTAGTAGGAACGTAATTTAGAATGCTTTGGAAATGGTATTTGGAAGTGAGCTGGGGCCCCTTTAAAAAATACTTGTAATCTCCATCGTACTCCTATGAAAGTTACAATTAGATTGTCAAAACTCAACAAAAATAACTTCTGATATGCTGGCTTGTGGTATACTTTATTTTACTTAAAATTCTACAAGTAAAACAGTAAACTTCAACTCAGCCCTCAAAGGGTCATCGTCCTAAGGATTATGTAAATCTCTGCTCAAAGATTGCTGATTTAGAGTGGACTTTGATTTCTAACATGAGATCACCAATTGTCTTGCTCCTAGTAAGCATTAAGATCATCTCTATAGATGAGAAAATTGTGAAGAGGTGGCTAAAGATTCTTACTAAATGAGGGTTGCTATAAAGCCTGCATTTGAATTTTAGTAGTACCCTAAAGAGGCTGTCCCAACAGAGATATTTGATCTCTCCATTGGCTCCTGCAGTATTGTGACAAGCGTGACTTCACAAAGTTAAAGGATATACTTGTCTAGCCCTGGAAACCATAGGAACCGAAGTTGCCCTTCAGGAAGGACAAGAACTTAGCCAATGACATCAGCTGGCTTAAAGGCTCGGATTAGCAAACCCCAAAGGTTATGCTACTCAGTTCACCTTAGTTTGAGATTGGACATGGTTTTCAAATCGGATTTGATGTAATAAATCAGGTACAGGACAAACAATAAAATTTTTGGCTTTGTGGGCCATAGGTTCTTTCTCACACTATCCCTGTGGTAACACAAAAGCAGCTAGAGATGACACATAAACAAATTGGTGTGGCTGTGTTCCAATAAAACATTCACGAAAAGAGGCAGCAGGCCGTATTTGGTCCGTGGGCTGTGATTTGCCAACCTCTGTTGTGTGCTCTTAGCTGCTAGAAGATTATTGTTCTTTGAATGAGAGGTTTGTAGAACAGACCGGTTTTCTTGTTTTGAGGGGTCTGTGTTTCTGAAAATGATCCAGCCTTTGGGTAAGGGGGAGATACTGGAAGTGTTGCAATTGGTATATACTTTTGGTGTTTTTCAACAGAAAGGATGTTGAAACAACAGTGTAGGGACAGAACTTGAAGTTCAGAGGCTCTGAGTTTTCTTGACTATGGGATCTTGGGGAAGTCTCTGAAGAAGAGCTGTGGGAGTGATTGTCCTGTTCTTGACTCACAGGGGTTTTGTGAGGCTACAAGGAAACCTCTGGTAAAAAAAGTAGACGACTTTAAGAAAGTCACTCTTAAGCAGGCTAACTCTTTCTTTCTTATCTGTTCCTCCTACAGGCCCTGGATTATTGTCACAGCATGGGAATTATGCACAGAGATGTGAAGCCCCATAATGTCATGATTGATCACGAGCACAGAAAGGTAAAGCGATAGACCAACAAGTCTTATTTATCAACATGATAGAGTTTAGGCACTTGATAAATGTTTGGTAAATGAATGAACTCATTAACAAATCATAATGTTGAAACCACTATCATATTCCTAAGAATACTATCAAGAAGGAAATAGATTTGGGGCGCCTGGCTGAGTCAGTAGGTGGAGCATGCAGTTCTTGATCTCAGGGTCGTGAGTTCAAACCCCATGTTGGGTGCAGAGATTACTTTTAAAAAAGGAGGGGGACGCCTGGGTGGCTCAGTCGGTTAAACGTCCGACTTTGGCTCAGGTCGTAATCTCATGGTTCATGGTTTTGGTCCTCTCATGGGGCTGTGTGCTGACAGCTCAGAGCCTGGAGCCTGCTTTGGATTCTGTGTCTCCCTCTCTCTCTGACCCTCCCCAGCTTGCACTCTGTCTTTCTATGTCTCAAAAAGAAATAAACATTAGAAAAACAACAACAACAGATTAGTGGGCAAAACATTAACTTTGGGCAGGGAAGCTGGCTTCTAGTTTCATTTATTAAATAATTAATCTCTTGGGAAACTCATTTACCTCCTTTTTCTTTTATAATGGGTATAATAATAATTGCTCTGCATGCCACTAGACGATTATGAGAGTTAAGTATACACGACTGTGACATAGATAAAATATTCAGAAAATGCTGCTGCTTATTAGCAAGTGTCATGAGGCCCCCGAACTTTACAAATGCTTTTAATGAGAGCTGCACTGACCACATGACTTTATAATCAGTTTCTTAAGGTGACCAAGCTCACCTTTTATAGGCAGTAATAGCTATCTGTTGTATACTTTGGGGACATAGTTGATTTATTCATTCAACTAATATTCATTTAGACTCACACTGTTTAATAAGTATTGTTCTAGAGGCTGGGGATATATGTGTGAGACAAATAGACAAAAAAAATCTTGTCTGTAGGGAGCTTGCATTTGCAGGAGGCTGGTGGGATAGAAAGTTAATAGTGATGTTCCTGGAAGAGGGACACCTGGGTGGCCCAGCTGGTGCTGACTTTGGCTCAGGTCATAATCTCACGGTTTAGTTCATGAGTTCGAGCCCTGCCTCAGGCTCACTACTTGTCAACGTAGAAACCGCTTCGGATCCTCTGTTTCCTCTGATCCTCTCTCTGCCCCTCCCCTGCTGATGGTCTCTGTGGTGATATGGAAGAGAAATCATAAATAGGGAATCGTAAAGGGTGTTAGGGTTTTAAATAAGGTTGTAAAAGAGAAGGTTTCATTGGGAAGGTGACACTTGAATGACATTTGGAGGGAACAAGCCATGTAATCTCAAAAACAAATGTGTCCCAGATAGAGGAAATGGCAGGTGCAAAGGCCCTGAGGCAAGAATGTGCCTGGCATGTTGGATAGATAGAGCTAGATAGAATGAACAAGGGGGAGCGAAACAAAATGAGATCAAAGAGATAGAGAACCACATCATGTAAAACCTTAAAGATCGTTGTCAGGCCTTTTCTCTGAAGATGCAGAGCTTTTTTTGCAGGGTTTGAGCAGAGGGTTGACATGCTGTCACTTAAATTTTTAAAAATTCATTACACATCTTTTAGAACAATTAAAAATAGTGACAATACCACATGCTGGCAAGGATGCAGAGAAACTCCATCTCTAATGCACTGCCAGCAGGAACATGGAGTGGCCCAGCCATTTTGGAAAATATCAGACTATTGTTTCTTAGTTTGTTGGTTTCTTTTTTTTTTTTTTTAACGTTTATTTATTTTTGAAAGAGTGCAAGCAGGGGAGGGGCAGAGAGAGGGGGACAGAGGATCTGAAGCAGGCTCTGCACTGACAGCAACAAGCCTGATGTGGGTCTTGAACTCACAAACTGCGAGATCATGACCTGAGCCGAAGTCGGCCACTCAACCAACTGAGCCAGCCAGATGCCCCTACTTTGCTGGTTTCTTAAAAAGCTAAACGTATGCCTACCAAACAGTCCGGGAGTATGGCGTTTATCCCAAAGAAACAAAAAACTTAGGTCCACCCAAAAACCTATATATGAACATAGCTTTATTTGTAATAGCTCAAAATGGAGAAAAACCCAAATGTCCTTCAGTGGGTGAATGGGTAATTGAACTGTGGCATTATGTGGTAGTATTACTAAATAGTATTCTTCAGCATTAAAAAGGAAAGAACTAGGCGCTCCTGGGGCTGGCTTAGTTGGTGGAGCATGTGACTCTTGGGCTCAGGGTTGTAAGTTCAAGCCCTGTGTTAGTTGTAGAGATTATTTAAAAATAAAATCTTTTTTAAAAAAAGGAAAGAACTACTGGTAATGCACCAACTTGGTGAATCTCATCCTGAGTGAAAAAAAGCAGTCACAAAAAGTTACATTAATGGGTCCATTTTCAAAATGACAAAATTGGAGCTTGAAAACAGGGGTTGCACCAGGGGTTAGGAAGTGAGGGGAAGGGATAGCACAAGGGATGTATGTGGTGATTAAACAGGTCAATGTCTTCTGGAAGTTACATGAATCTACATGTGATAAAATTGCAAGAACTACACACAAATGCATGTATATCAGACTGAAAAATAAGATCTTCCTGAATCATAATCATTTTTAAATGAAAAGCTTTTGCTCTTTCAAAAGTAGAGAACAGAGGCGCAGGGCAACAGTGAAAGCAAGGAGACCAGTTAGGAAAAGAGACTGTTCCAGGAAGTCAAACAAGAGATGGTCGTGGCAGTGGATGTGATGATCACGGTCAGAATATGCTAGAGCCATTTGTCAGATTTGCTGTGAGGTGTGAGGGAAACAAGAACGCAGGGTGAAAATTTTTGGCCTGAACGACAGGATGAATAGAATTACTTTTAACTGAGAGGGGAGAGGCTGTGGGTGAAGCGGGTTTTGCAGGGAGTGTTCAAGAGGTTTTGTTTGATATGTCTACTGGGTGGCTAAAAGAGTCAGTTGGCAGGAGGCACAGGCTGGGGAGTCTAGGGGGGAAAGGCTGAGGTGCTGTGTGTGAAGCCATAGACCAGAAATGGTCATCTGGAAGTACTTGTTGATTTAAAAAAAAAAAAAAGGTCAAGGAGAGCTCTGAGGCACTAATGTTAAGGGGTTAAAAAGAAAAAGCGTAAAAAGGTTATGCTTTCTTTTGTACTTTTTATTACATTTCCACTCATTGCTGATACAAGGTAAACGCTGTACCTAGTTAACAGTGAACTTACATGGACAGGGCCAGAGTGATCGGGCATTACTCAGGCCCTACTGCTTATACTTGAGATCATGGTCATGCTTTGCACAGTGAGCAAATAAGGTTGCCTCTTGGGCTTGCCTACTGCTTTTTCCATTTTGAGGATACAGTTTGGTCAGAATTGTTTGTGTGGCTTTTCCCTTACTTCGTTCACTCAGCAAATGTTTTTTATTTTTTTGTGTGTGTACTGGGCATTATGTTGCATTCTAAAAATTGCAGAAATGAATTACACAGTCTCTTCCCTTAAGGAGCTTACAGTGCATATTGAAAAAGAAAGATAGAAAATGAATATACAGTAAAGAGTTGTAGGTTCTATTAAAGAAATATATTTGGGGTTCAGGGGACTAAAGGCATGGGTTAGTTCTACTTGAATAATTAGAAAAGACTTCATTGAAGGGCTAACTTAAATATCTCAAAAAATAGGGATATGTTTAGTAGGAGTCTAGGTTGGATAGCAGAAGACATTCTAGTCAGAAGAGCAGTTTGAGAAATTGTGCAGAAATGCAGAATAGATGGTGTTTTTCGGAAACTAGAAGTCTCACTGGAGCACAGGAACTAGATCATGGAGAACCCTGTATGCCAAGCTAAGAAGTTTGATTTTCATTCTAAATGCTGTAAAGAGGTAGTCACTGGAAAGGTTTCAGTAGTGACATGGCTGGTATTTTTAAGAGTATTCTTTTTTCCCCCAATTTATTTATTTATTATTATTATTTAACGTTTATTTATTATTGAGAGACAGAGAGAGACAGAGCATGAGCATGGGAGGGCCAGAGAGAGGAGGAGACATAGAATCCGAAGCTGGCTCCAGGCTCTGAGCTGTCAGCACAGAGCCCAACATGGGGCTCAAACCCACCAACTGCGAGATTATGACCTGAGCCAAGTCGGACACTTAACCGACTGAGCCACGCAGGCACCCCTTTTAAGAGTATTCTGATGGCAGTGTGTGGGGTAGCATGAAAGATAAAATTGCTCATGATTTATTCTTCCCTTTTTTTAAATTTCAGCTACGACTAATAGACTGGGGTTTGGCTGAGTTTTACCATCCTGGCCAAGAATACAATGTCAGAGTTGCTTCCCGATACTTCAAAGGTCCTGAGCTACTTGTAGACTATCAGGTGAGAAGAGAAGGGCGGATAAAATTTCGGTCCTGTGTTTTGCACATAATTTGTAAAAATGTCGTTTTGTGCATTTGAGTAGGCCGTTTATGCACATACATGGCTGTCCCTTTTATATGAATGTAAAACATGAATCACTTCAGTTCATCCATCATAACTTGTTCTTATTTTCATAACGTCAGGAGAATATGAATAGATCTGCATTTGATCCTAACTGAAGAGAAGGTACACCAGAGATACTTTTTGGAGTCAAATTGAGAATTGTAAGGTTTAACCAACCTTAAAATAAACTCAAAAATGTTCTCTTGTGATTTTCCTAAATTGTATTTTAAAGACCTTCCCCTTGACCAAAAAAGAACAAAAGCCCTCTTTCTCCTCACAGGAACAAAATCCTTGGGAGTACCTTTCATGCCCGCTCCTCGCAGGTGTTTTTATCAGACACATTGAGAAGTTCAAACTCTGTCCTAGAAATGGCTTTTCTGGGATCTTGAAGCTATAATGCAGAGCCCAAAATACATTTTATGCATAAAAATATTCTTCACAACATTGTTTATAATGGTGATGAAAAACAAAACACTATCTAATTATAGGAGAAATTAAAGATTAAATTCTGAAACATTTATGCACTAAAATAATGCTACACATTAAAAGGTTTCCATGGCCTGTAACAGTTTGGGACCTTCTTAGGTAAGTGAAAAGAGTAAATTCCAAATAGTATACAGATTGTTTTGAAATGGGGGTGGGGCAGGTATATAGAAAAAAGACTGAAAAGAAATACATAAAGGTGTCAACTGGTTTTTGGACTTTTGGACTTTGGGTCAGTGGAGTGATATATATTTTTAATAGTAAAGAGCAGTATTTTCTTTTGAATTACAAGATATTTCATGTATGATAACTAATTTTTTTTTTTACTTTAATGCAGATGTATGATTATAGTTTGGATATGTGGAGCTTGGGTTGTATGCTGGCAAGTATGATCTTCCGGAAGGAGCCATTTTTCCATGGACATGACAATTATGATCAGGTGATAATTTTGTTCCTATTAGGGAACTTACTGGTCTAACTTAATGATGGCTAGATCTGCCTACCCATTTAGAAACTACTACGGATCTTGCTAAAGTACAGATGACCAGCCCCCACTTGAGACTTGTTAAATCAGAATCTCCAAGGGGGGGCCCTACAATATTTTCAATTCATTGCTTATTCAGCCAAACTGACATTGATTTTCAGACTGGTGTTTTGGGAGCCTTTTGAAATCAGAGTTTTTCTCTTAGTCGTCTTAATTTGCAGTGCTTGCTTTATTGCAAGATATACGTGTAAATTTTTTATTTTTTTATTTTTATAAGTTTACTTATTTTGAGAGAGAGTGTGAACAGGGGAGGGGCAGAGAGAGAGAGAGAAAATCCCAAGTGGCCTCCAGGCTGTCAGCACAGAGCCCGACGCAGGACTCGAACTCATAAACCATGAGATTGTGACCTAAGCCGAAACCAAGAGTCAGATGCTTAACCGAATGAGCCACCCAGGTGCCCCTGAAAATTATTTTATAAAACATATACAATTAAAAGAATACTGGTTTAAGAAATAGAACATTACCTTAGAATCTCCTAGTGTAAGCTTTCATTCAAGAGTTGTTTCCCCCAACATGTTGGGAATGTTTCCTCCAACGTGTTGGGTTTATATGTAGTGTTTCTGTGATCCTTTTGTCTCTTTATACGGATTAAGTTGATGTTTGTAGATGATGTTTTTTATACTAGCTTCACTTCCCCATAAAGAACAAGGGGCCTTTTCTTTCAGAAGAACCTGGAATGATTCTAGGACATTGTGGAAGGTACTGTTGCCTTATTTGAGCACAATGACCATTTTTAATGAGTCAAAGAATACCACCTGAATTCAGTTAAAAATCAGTAACCCTATTCTCAGGACCATGCAGTCCAGGCAATACAGAAAAAAAGAATAGTCACTTCTCTCAAATAGTTCATAGTCTATCCAGTAAGGGAACTGAACATATAAGGAAATAAGTTACAGTCGTAAATGTCAGAGTAGAATCATAGACCAGGTACAAAAGGCAGTTGTGGTGGGAGAGTGGTCTGAATGTACAAGAGCAGCTTCCCAGAAGAAGGGACATCTTCAGTTGGGCTGTGAGGCAGGACAGTGCTTGATCAAGGAGACATTTCAAGGGGAAGGAAGCAGGTTATAAGACCATTTGTTCGGGTGCCTGGGTGGCTGAGTCGTTAAGTGTCCGACTTCAGCTCAGGCCGTGGTCTCATGGTTTATGAGTTCAAGCCCCACATCGGGCTCTGTGCTAACAGCTCAGAGTCTGGAGTCTGCTTCGGATTCTGTGTCTCCCTCTGTCTCTGCTCCTACCCCGTTCACGCTCTGTGTCTCTCTATCCCTCAAAAATGAATAAACGTTAAAAAAATTTTTTTTTCTTGCTTTTTTCCTGACACCTTCACATTGAGTGATAATTTAGGGAATTTTGTATGGAAATCCATTCCTGCCATGCAAAGAAATTTGAAATACATTGTTAGAAGTTAGCATTCATACCTGTAGTCATGGTGCCCCCTTTCTGTTAATTCAGTTAAAGCCGGTTGATTTAATTATGTAATGTGTTTGTGGTGTGGGTTTTTGTGTCTCTTCAATCCTAGTTGGTGAGGATAGCCAAGGTTCTGGGGACAGAAGATTTATATGACTATATTGACAAATACAACATTGAATTAGATCCACGTTTCAATGATATCTTGGGCAGGTAAGTCCTAAAACAAAATAGTTACATTTTCTTTGCCAACACACTTTTCTCTGCAAGTATGTCGGTGGTCTGGCCATGCAAGGTGCTGCATGAACGGGTCTGTTGTAAAAGGATTGCACCAAATGGCCTATTTCCCAGATTCACTTACCAGGAGTTTGAGTGTGGAGATTATGGTTACAGATTCCTGTCAAGTGAATGAAATGTTTAGAGTCAAAAACCAAAATCTCTTGATTTAGCTTGTTTCTCCAAATGACAAAAACCCTCTCTAAGGGAGAAATAGGAAAAGGAAATGCATGCTTCAAGACCGATTTGCAAACTGTGAGCGCTGACAATAGGAATTAGACACAATACGAATCGATTAGCCACTTAACTGGAGGAGGTGGACTTGCCTGATGAAAAAAGGCTTCTGCTGGCTAAGTGGCAGAGATGCCAGGAATTGCTGTGGGGGTGGGAAAGAGGCCTGGTGACCCAGCCACCTGACCTCTTTGCTACACAGGACAGGAGCCCTTAATCCTATCAAGTAACCTGAATTATGTTTTGTAGAATCGTGAGGACCCAGATTTCTCTTTTCTGCAACACTGCTATTTCCAGTCTCTCCAATTAGCTTTGTTGTCTCCCTAGTGGCAGAGGGTACATGACCTACTCTCTTGAGTTCTGATCTCTCTTTGCTATTGGCTGGGCTCCTAGCCACTAAAGAAAATGTAGGAGTGAAATGTTGGGCTTCTGTGCCCCTCGGTCTATTTCTCATTCCCACTTTGGCTCTACAGACACTCCCGTAAGCGATGGGAACGCTTTGTCCACAGTGAAAACCAGCACCTTGTCAGCCCCGAGGCCTTGGATTTCTTGGACAAGCTGCTGCGATATGACCACCAGTCACGGCTTACCGCAAGAGAGGCCATGGAGCACCCCTATTTCTGTGAGTCTAACTATCCAGTCCACAGAGCCTGTGCAGGCCCACCCAGGAGACTGTACAAGGCAGGGGAGAATATATGTTGTGAAGAAAGCTCTGGGCCCAATAATTGAAATCCCAACTGCCTGTAGCTTGCCTTCAAGTTACTTGACTCACAGTGAACCTCTGTTTCTTCAGATGGGGGACGGTAATGGCAACAGTCTTGCAGAATTGTTGGGAAGACCGTGGTTGTTTCACAGGCTACTTGACCCGTGATCACTCCTAAACAAACTGCTTTACTTCCTGTGTGGGAGATATTTCTCAGTGGCTAGTCTGGAGTAGTTGGATTAGAACGGCAGCCTTTTATCTGGCCTTGTCTGGCACTCGTTCACTGGAGAGAGTCAAGGAGGTTTGAGTATCTTATTGTATGAACATCTTGACCTGGGTTTGTGAGCATAGCTAACTGTGCTGTTCTGAATGTAAATGCCACTTAGTCCCACCCCATCCTCACTGTGACATTAGCCTTAACGTTGGATCACTCCTTGGGGATTGGTGGGATGGTTTTATAGTGAACTGATTATAATCTTGCCCACTCTTCTGTGCCTGACGCAAATGGACAGGCTGATTGAGGTGGAGAGTGAGGTCTGTGGTAATAGCATCAACCTGCACAAACCTGTAGCTTTTGCCCATTTGGCACCATGCTTGACCAGCTGAGCTGCGGACTGAAATAAAAGCAATTTACTCTGATAAAATATTACTGTCTTGGCCAGGTTAGATTGTATTGTCTCATTAAAACCTAACAAGATCCAAAAAAAAAACTAACAGGATCATTTTGTTTTAAATTAGCTTTTCTATGGATAATGACATCTTCCTTCCATTTGGTTTAAGAGTTGGCCTTTACCACAGTTTGATAGGAAAGATAATCCTATTTCATGTTAGTTGTTTAATTCATGGTGAAGGTTCTTGCCACTTTATGTTCTTCTGGGAATAACATAGACTATAAATAAAATACATACAGAGAATGAGGATGGCTGCTTTAAGGCCCCAGACCATTACCTTCAAGTGTGACAGAACTTAACCCTTTTTGTTTTCTCTAGATACTGTTGTGAAGGACCAGGCTCGAATGGGCTCATCTAGCATGCCGGGGGGCAGTACGCCTGTCAGCAGCGCCAATATGATGTCAGGTCAGTTCTCTGCTAACTTTCTGGGGGGGGGGGGGGGGGGGGGGGGGGAGTAGAAATCAGTTATTTTTAGTTTTGCTCCCTCTTTGTGGCCTGATTTCTTATGGCCCTTCTCTTTTCTATAATGTTTATCTTCTTCTTGACAGTACTGACCTGTGTGGTCTCCTCACCAGGCTTCCAAATGCTTTTTTGACACCTGGTTATGTTAGTGACACTGCCTTGAGTAGGGTATCAACAGTCGCTTCTAGGCCAGAGTCCCAAAAATTTCTCACGGAGAGGCTTGAAAGTCCCAGTAAACTATGAAAAGTCAAAGGAGATCTCTGTCTCACAGTTTAGAGTGACAGTAGTTGCATGATTCCCAGAAACAAGATTAAGAAATTGAGGGTGGGGGTAAAGGTGTATAGATCTGTATGTGTACAAGGATGCTTCTCCAGTTTTCTCCCAGAGCATCTGTCATGTGCCTAGCAAATTGTAAAGGTTTGTATGAAATGATTTTTCATTATTGTTGAGTCTTCTTGATTGAAAGCAAGTTTGTGTGTAGAATACACACTTTTGTAAAAGAAACAATAGACTTATCCCCTGAGAATTCGACATGTAGGTAACATCCATATGGGTGTACTTGTAGTCAGGACATTTAGTCAGACACCCTCAAAGAACTGTTGTCACAATTCTTTTTTTAAAGAACTAGCTACCTTTTAGAACTCAAGGTATCTTGAGGTATCCTCAAGGTATCTTGCCTATGGGCAAAATGATATATATCCAAATCCAAGGCTGCTGATTGTAGCCTTATTTGTAAGAGCAAAACATTCCAGCTTTCAGTAGGGAACTAATAAAATGAATTATGGGATATCCATTCAGTGGAAAGCTATATGACCAGAGAAAAGAATAAATGTTTCATGTTCTTTTTTACCTCTAATTCCAAAATAGTCATGTGGAATAAAAACAAGATTCAGCACCATGTCCAAGGCCAGGAGTGGCAAGAATACATAATCACATTTTTATATGTGATTTTTATATGCACATTCTTACATAATTATATTCATATATATGCATAAAATATTTCTGGAAGGATACACCCCAAAAATGGTACCATAAGTTGGCCAAGCAAAAGGGTAAGAGAAATTTTTCACTGCATACTCTTCTGCACTTTTGGTATTTTGAACCATGAGAATTTATTACCCGTTCTAGAAGTGTATCTGTAACAATTTGAAAATTAACTGGATGGTTGAGGAAGGCAATCTAACTGGTAATTCTGGTCATTAGATGAGTAGAAGAAACCAAATAAATTCTAAAACACCATTTTAGCATTTCCCCACCGAAAATGACTTTTGGTAATTTGGAAAGCTGCCAGCTAACTAGGCGTCATGATGTAAGAACACGTGAGCTTTGGCTCTAGCCTCGCGCTGTTCAGTAGAGCCGAGACTAGCCACATGTGGCTATTTAGATTAGTTAAAATTGAATACAGTTTAAAACACAGCTCCTTAGTTGCACTAGCCAGATTGCAAGTTCTCATTAGCCACTTGTGGCTAGTGACTACCATATTCACAGAGGTTACAGAGCAGAAAGTTTGGTTGGAAAGCGCTGCCCTGGAGACAGGCCTCAGTTTTCAATTCAAGGATAGTTGCCACTTACCAGCTGTGTACTTTGTACAAACTGCTTAAACTCCCCCAGCTAAGATTTCTTTACCTGTCTCTTCAATTGACTTAGAAGTTAATTGTAACTTGAAATTAGATTTAATTTGTAAAAATCTGGCTGTGTAGAGGCCTTCAGAAAAAAAAAAGAATTACTGGGGCACTTGGCTGGCTCGGTCAGAAGAACATGTGACTCTTGATCTCCGGGTCATAAGTTCAAGCCTCATGTTGGGTGTAGAGATTACTTAAAAAAGGGAAAAAGAGAATAACTGTTGTCACTCTTGAAACAGGTACTGTGAAAAACCGGTGACTAAGATTTCCATGGTTGGTGTCTGGCTCATTGTTAGCTGTTTTCTTTTAGGGATTTCTTCAGTGCCAACCCCTTCACCCCTTGGACCTCTGGCAGGCTCACCAGTGATTGCTGCTGCCAACCCCCTTGGGATGCCTGTTCCAGCTGCCGCTGGCGCTCAGCAGTAACGGCCCCTTCTGTCTCCTGATGCCTAAGCAGAGGTGGGGGAGTCGACGCTCTCCTTGATGCAGCTTGCGCCTGGCGGGGAGGGGTGAAATACTTCAGAAGCACCGTGTCTGAACCGTTGCTTGTGGATTTATAGTAGTTCAGTCATAAAAAAAAAAAATTATAATAGGCTGATTTTCTTTTTTTTTCCTTTTTTTTTTCCTTTTCTTTTTTTTTTTAACTCGAACTTTTCATAACTCAGGGGATTCCCTGAAAAATTACCTGCAGGTGGAATATTTCACGGACAAAATTTTTCCCCCCTTTTAAATTTAATTTCTCATCACTAAAGAACAAAGATGAACCAGCCTCAATCCCGGCTGCTGCATTTGGGTGGAGATCTCTTCCCATGTCCATCATTGCTCCCCCACCATCCCACACTTTGGGGGATTTATATCTCATGCTCTTCTCCAGAGATTATAAAAATGTAGCTTCTTCAAGGGAGGTGGGAAGGAAGAAGGAAGGGAGGACCCAACCTACAAGAGCGTTGTGCTGCTGGTCACTTTTATCACTTTACTCCAAGTGCTTCAGTGGGGTTGTCATGGTGAATCTAGTGGAAATATGTCTTAGTTTCATTGAGATGCTGAATATCACCTACCCAAAGTGCAGACAGGTCCTGAAAACTTCAATCTGAATCATGTCTTATTAACCGAGCCCTAAATCCAACTCACTTAGACTTCTAGTTTCAGTTTAGTTTAAAATGTTAATACCTTCCCTCCCAGTCTCCTTACCTTGGTCCTCTCCGCCTTCATCTCCCCACATGCTCTGTAGCTGGTGGGAGGGGGAGGCAAAATCTTTTCCAGTTTTCTTTGACTTGGCCATTTTGAATTCAGTTAGTTACTGGGCTTAACTTATTGCTTTTTGCAAAAGAAACAAACATTGTCTATATAGGTTTCATGCTAGCAACTCTTTCAGAGCTAATGGAAGATGTGGCCACACGGAGTTTCATTTTAAGCTTCCTGCCTTCTTTTCTTCCTTTCTTCCCCTTCCTTCACATGCCATCCAGTGAGAAGACCTGCCCCTCAGTCTTGTAAATGTATCTGAGAGGTAGGAGCAGAGCCACTATCTCCAGTGAAACTGAAATGGTAGACCTGTAATTGTGGGAAAACTATAAACTCTCTTGTTACAGCCCTGCCACCCCTTGCTGTGTGTATATATATAATACTTTGTCCTTCACATGTGAAAGATCCAGTGTTGGAATTCTTTGGTGTAAATAAACGTTTGGTTTTATTTATCAAGGTTAGATTTAAGTTCCCTGTGTAAAGGTCTCGCTGGGTGGGTGTCTCACGTTCACATCTGAGGGGCCTGCAGCCCTGTACCGTGGAGGCTTCCCAAGGCCCCCATTTTTATACACCCCTCATTGGACCCATGGTACCGGGCAGGGCAGAGAGGCCTTAAAAAAGCACCACAAGCCAAAGCGTCTCTGGGGATTAAGGATCCTTTGCCATAAAACTCATTTTGTGTCTCAGCAGTGCAGGGATTGGGGATGGAAAAGTCGCCAGTTTTTGTGTGTTTGTGTGTGTGTAAAGTGGATTTTCCACTGTAATCCAACCACCTAAGTTTATCAGGTGCTTCACTGAGGAAGCCTAGTTTTTTAAGCACAATAGCAAAACCATCAGCTCTGTATTTTCTCCTATTCTTTCATTACAGTAGCTGCTTGTGGGAACTAGGAAAAATTCTTCCAACATATTTTAAGGCCTAAAGTCTTAGTTCCCCTTTCTCCTACCTTTATAGATCATAAGCCTTTCTCGCCTGGGCGCCATAGACAAACATAATTGTTTCAGGAGTTGAATTTAATGAACTTATCTAACTTTATAACCCATCTTGGCTCTAGTAACTTTATCAAGGTGGTGGCTTTCGTGAATATAATGGTAAACTTTAGAGGAAGCTAAAGCCTCCTTTTATAATGCTTCTCGACCATAGGGAAAACATTCTGACAGTGTGGCAGGGTGATTTTCTTTCTTGTGGCCACTTACAGTGGATATTTATTGTTCTTGACCCTTTTATGCCCTAGAATGCTGTGGGGGTTACCATGTGGAATTTGTGCAGAAGCTAAAAGCACCGGATGTGCCAGAGATGCAATTTGTGATTACGTTTGCACTGGATTGTGATTTGAACAGGACACTTACGACTAATGAATTCTTTCTTTTGAGGTGGGGAGGAGGGTTGTAAATCGAGACTTCACATCCCACCCTTGTAGCTCAGAGAATCTAGTTGTGGCTGAGGCTGATGTGGGGAGCTGCAGACAGCTGGACCTCCTAACACGCATCAGGCCTTGCAAGAGACGGAAGGTGAATGCAGAGGACTCTGAAATGCCACCCAAGAGCCTTTTGAAATAAATAGAAGTTTTTAAAATGCTACTTAAGGAGTCACTGCAGAAGCATGAAAAAAAAGAAGACCCAGTTGGGCGGGTGGGTGGGGGGCAAGGGTTTACAGAGTAACAACTTCTGTGTTGTTGTAAATTACCTCATCTGTATACCTTGTACTGGGACACTTTATTTCTCAGCGCTGCCTGTGTCTGCAGTGACTAGATGGCAGGAAACGCAATGCCAGTATAAGACAGTTGTGTTGGCAATTACTCTGAAAGGTTTTTTAAGTAATTTTTAACTTTGTTTGAAGTGCCCCCCTTTTTTTTTTTTTTTTTTTTTTTTTTTTTTTTTTTTTTAAGTTTGAAGTCAGAAGCTCCCCCTCGTCCCCTTGATTTATTGGTTGTAATTGTATTGTAATTGGTATAACTAAAACATAACTGTGCTGGGAAGAAGTTGTGCCATGAAGGTCTTTAATTTTTTTTTTAAATAAAAACATTTAAACATGAAATGTCCCTGCAGCCTGAGCAATATGCTTCTCAAAAACCGACACCGTCTGTGTTAGATGGCTTAGGTCTCGTGTGTTTTGAATTTAATACTGGGTTGATGGAGATGTGAAATGGGATGGATTAAGATTGGTTGAGGAGCACTGAAGTCTGGAAGTTTTTGACATCAAGATTCAGTAAAGAGGGCGTGATGTTGTTGCTAAACAGGACTGGTTTCATTCTTGCCCTTGTCACATACTTGGCCACTTGGCAAGTTACTTAACTTCTGAATCTGTTTCATCATCTATGAAATGGGGCCACTGCTGCCTTGGGATTGAATGAGAGTAAATGTCAAGTATCTGGCACCTGTTACACCCTTGATAAACCTAGTTTCCCTGGCCCCCTGGTATGGAGGATTGGTCCTTGGTCCTGACCTTGCAAGTGACTCACAGTACTGTCCATCCTTGGGACCTCCCGGGACCTCTGTGTGTTCAGTCAGGGTGAGGTTGGGTGAGGTGTCTTCAGAGTTCCTTTTCAGCTCTAACACTGATTTTAGAAGGTTTGAGTGATGTTTTAAATAAAAATGTCCATGGAGACAGCTTGTTCATTAGCAGAAAAGATCGGTGTTGAGTGAATGGCAGTAAGCCCTGTGGAAGGTCGGCCTTGGAGATACCTTAGCCCTGGAGGCAACTTGCAGTCTTGGGGCCTGGAATGAAGATGTTTCTGGTGAGCTTACAGGAACATATTTGGCAGCTTAAGCAGAAACTACTCAAAGGGCTGGTAAAAGAGGTGAAATTTAGTTGACTTGCTTACCACTGCCCAATGAGTAAATTCTGTAAGATTATATATTTGAATTGCCATTCGATCTTTCTCATTTAACCACAACTTTAAAAAATTGAAATCAGAGGAAGTGCTGTTATCCCAAACTTCTAGTTTCCTTTAAATGTTCACTGCATACTATTTTATGACATCCACATGTCATTAATATTGGGCGTTGAAAGGTGTGGTTTAGGTGAAAGGAACTATTGTGTAATACCTTGTATCTGAAATGTCTAACTTTCATGAACTTTATTTTATTTCCCCGAACTTCATTTCATGAATTTATTTCCATTTTATACAGGAGACAGGAAGACTAAATTGCTGGAGTGGGCCCGTTAGAGACAGAGCAATCTAGTTTTTAAAATTGTCTTCAGAGTATGGCTAATTACCATAGTCCTAAAATAGTTGAGAAAACTGGAGATTGGTTGACAGACTGGGGGATTTTAATTTCCTCTCAGTCTTTAAATTTCATCTTGCCTCACCTGTTGTCAAGTGTGGTTATAATTAGAACTGACCGTTGGACATCTCTTGGAAAAATCTAGCTGTTCACCACTGCCTGCAGATTCCCACCAGCAGATTCTCTCCCAAGATTAGGGTTGGGTTGGGTGATTGTGCAGTCACCAGTCCTCGCCTACCCCCCCTGCTGGTAATCCCCTCCTACCTTGTGCCGAAGCGATAGGGACTGTGGCTGATGGTCCCTGGTGACATGCTTGTTAGAGAGACTGTCTCCCCGGGGCCTTTTCCTGCTTAAGGAAAAAGTTAGTAACCAGAAGACTTTGAAGTAAAGAAGTCCCCGGTTCCCTCCTCAAAAAACAGGTGTCTAAAAACCTTGATCTGAGCAGATGTTCCACCCTATCTCAAGTGCCCTCAGCCTGCTTCCCCCACTGCCATAACTATCCCCTTGCCCTTCTGCCTGGTTACTCCTGAACGTTGATTGTATTGTTGTCTCTCTCGGCCTACACATAAACTCCCGCTGACCTTGTAGGTCTTACTAATCTGTGTATCCTCATAAAAACTTTTCAGAAAGTATGCCAATATCCCTGAGGATGGAAGAGGATTGAATAGAGTAGCACAAGGAAAATGCTTAGCACCATACCAGGCTCATAATAGATGCTCAGTAAATGGTAATTCCATCCTCGGCTCCCACTTCCACCTTCCCACACACACGCACACATTCCACCACACGTGTGTGCACGCGCACACACAGTAAGTAATGAAAGTACTACTGCATAAAGGGCATCTCAGATCAGAAGAATCTGGCCCTTAAGTTTGCAGCTGTAATTATAAGCCACAGGCCAGACTGAACTAACGTGACAAGAAAATGTTTATTTAATGAGGCCTTGGTGAAATCGTAAGTGGCTGAAGACTAAGCAGTGATCCTTACCAATTTAGTAGACTTGGGTACTAAGAGAGTCCTGCTTTCCACCATTGTATATAGTAATAGGAAATTCAGGCTGTTCTCTGGGTAAAATAGATGTATAGTGGGTGTCACAAGATAGTCTGGCTCTGGAATCAATCTTCAC